ACACACACACACACACACACACACACACACACACACACACACACACACACACACGCACACACACACATAGAGCCCCAACTCCTCTCCTCTGGCGTGCCATCATCTCCTTTCCCTGACCCCACCATTCAAGGTCCACCCGTCGCACTTCCCCTCCTCCCCCCATCCACCCCAAATTATATCGCCAATGCAGTATTCTCAGCACTTCATCTTCTTCTTCCCCTCAAGTGCAACTCTCTCTCTCTCTCTCTCTCTCTCTCTCTCTCTCTCTCTCTCTCTCTCTCTCTCTCTCTCTCTCAACAAGCATGTGGAGGAGCAGGTATCGGGGAGGTGAGAAATACGTGAAAGACCCACCTCTGTCGAACGATGATGGAGATGATTGGTATTGCTGGCGAGCCCAGAACCGGCAACACCCTCAACCGACTCTCTTGAGTGATTATGACGCAAGTCACCAGTGATGACGGACGAGGAACAAGTGGTCGATCAGATACGAGCCCGGGGCTGCAACCAACATGAATCCGGTGATCATGACAATCAACCATCATGCAGATATGAACTCATGCGACAGGAACGCAAGGGCAATTACATCACAGAAACAATCAATCATTCGTTGAAAAACACACAATGCAGCACTTCACCCTATCAACAACAATCCACTCCACATCCCACACATGCATCTGCTGAAGAACAATGACCCAAATTATGTTAAAGTCAAACACCTAATTGTCAAAGAAAAAGTCAGGCACATAATTGGTAGAGAAACGAACCCGCTGGACCTTCTCTTATTGTATGACAGAGAATTTTCGCAACCTCATTCGGTTGCCGTCTGTATCCCCGACCCCATCACGGGACCGGCCAAATTGGGTTGTCACCCCAACCTGATCTGCCATCCATTTTTTGCACCAACAAGTGTAACCAACCACAAAGATTGCGTCATTGAGACTACTTCGTAGGAGAGCTTGTACAAGAGCGTGGCTCCGGTGGTAGTGTAGGTGGCAAGAACAGGTCAGTTACGGTTTATATTGTTGAAGATGACATTGTCCCACGTAATGTCGTCACACAGTAAGGGCTACCGTCTTCACCCGAATACAACGTATGGTCATTATCTATTCGGAACGTTAATATTTCAGTCTACATATAGCTATAATGACCGTACGTTGTATTCGGGGGAAGAAGGTAGGAGTTGCTCTACGATTAGGAGGCCACATTTGTTGATATAGCATACTCTTCTATATTTTCTATATAGTACTCATCTTTAGCACCAGCATCGTTAGTATCACTATCTCACAGTTTGCATAGAAAAAGCAGAAGTAGTTCATCATCATCATCATCATCATCATCGTCATATGACGGACGCTGAGGTACAGGTGTTCATTTTTCTTTTGCTGCTATAGGCGAACTAAGCAGGGACCCCAAATAATTGAAAAGAGGCGTAGAGACACCACTAATCGACGTTTGCATCTTGTTGCCTATCCCATTGTCTGACCGGATAGGCCTCCTTGAGTGGTATGTACATCAGACATTATTGGTCTTATGTTTGTGCTTAGAAAGCATGAACAAGGGAGTCGACATTGGCCAGGTTCGTGTGTTCTGCGCAAGAAAGGTGGAGCATGCACTTCAAATTCCATCTACCAATAGGGCAGATTCAAATTTCGAACTGAATATTGAAATAATGGCTTAATAACAATATGACCGTTTTCAAATTTTCATCTACCACTTCAAGATGCAGCCCCCAATTTTGTTTTGGGGGTTTTTCAGGCACGTTTTCGTTTGTTTTTTTCTGGGGTTTGACAGCAACATGAAATGATACCAGTAAAGAATGACAGATGAAAGAGAACATGTACACACCCAGAGTTGTCGTTTTTTTCTGGGTCATCGTTAAGCATCTTATCATACTTCCCACCCCACTATAGTACTCTGCACAACGGAGGGGCCTGGCTCGAGAGTGGAGGAGGGGAGGAGGGGAGGAGGGGAGGAGGGGAGGAGGGAAGCAGGGGGCGGAGAGGAGCAGGAAGACGGTCCTTCCCCTTT